CCCCCACCTTAAGCAGAAAACTACAAATAAAATGACAGTCAAAACACTTCACACGTTAATAATACTTTTGGAATTGACTTTAACCAGGTCAGTGGTCCTGAACTCAGGGCTGTGATGCATAAGACGGGTTGTATGGCGGCTGGTCAATTTCTTCTGAATATGGAGGAGGTGACTCAGGTTGGCTGAGAGGGTGGAGGGGATGTCCTTGTGGGAAGGAGGCTGGTGCAGCTGGAAAGATGATAAACAACTAATTATTTGTTATTCTGAGAAAGCTGAATCTTACTTTATACTTTATTATGAAGCTTCTCACTCACAGATTGCCAAGTGAGTTTATGAAATGTAGTTTATAGTAAAATGACTGGGTAAAGATATATTTGTTATTATTTTATCATGAATAATATGTATTTTGCTCAAAAAGAAATTCTTCTTGCCAATAAATCTCATGTTTGGGAAAGCTTGTTAATTTCTCTTTTAAATGGTGCCACATTTGTAAGGAACATGCATATGAGGGATGAGCAGTTGTTGAGTGTGTGGGTTGTGCACATGAAAAGTTTGCCAAATCCTCTCTGCTATTGTCAAACAGCTTATTCTGCCATTGGCTCGCTTGGTGTTTGGTGGACTGGACAGTTGACGTTTGAAGAAACAAGACAAATCGGCAATTTAACAATTTATTAATTTAACAAACAGGAGCCTCAGTAGCGTGTGGAAGAACCATACACAGCCACAACAGCCCACTCATGCAGCTCACCAGCCTGGTTCACACACTGCTGTGGCATCCCATTCCTCAACCAGTATTTGTCACAAGTCAGCCAGCGTGGTTGTGTTGTTCCCTCTGGTACGAACAGCACAGCCAAGCTGATCCAACAAGTGTTTAATGGGACTGAGGTCAGGACTGCTGGCAGACCATTCCATTCGCTCCACTCTCATTCTGGACTCTGATAAACCACGCTCTGTGGGGGGTGGGGGGGAGCGTTGTCATCTTGGAGGAGAGAGTTCAGTTGCACTGCTTCTACCAAAAGATGTTACTCTATCGGTGCAGGAATCAGCATAGTGTTCTCCATTTCACATTTTCTCTACACTTTCACCCTATGATCTAACTGTCATAAGCAGGATCTGGACTCATCACTGAACATAACGTTCGTCCACATGTTCAGGCTCCAGTGCACGTGTTGCCAACACGAATGCAAATGGAACTGATGGCGAAGGGCAGTTGTGGCAGGCCTCCTGGTTGCCCGATGAAACCGGAGATTCACTGCATGTACTCTGTTCTTGATTGTTTGGGCAGAGAGCTGTCGGCCAATTTGTCCCGCAAACACTGACTGCAAAGCTGTAGAAGACGGATTATTGTACCCACGTCCTGACAGGTTGAGCAAACCAACATCTTGGGGTATCATCTTCTTTGGACATCCACTTCACGGTCTGTCTCTGACAACCCCAGTCATGGAACTAAGCCTTCAATTTAGAGATGGTTCTGGGGCTCAGTCCAAATAATGTTGCAACTTGGATTTGTGAAACACCAGCTTCAATTTGTCCCATAGGATGAGCCCTATCCAGATCAGTCAAACATGGCATGACAATTCTTGGAGTAGACACCAGGGTCCGTGCTCACATGGTCCGCTGGGGGAACCAGAAGCTCAAAACAAATGTCAATAGCAACAGAAAAACAATCTGTTTCACAATAGCGGATTATTTGATTTTTTTTTTTCATGTGCGCAACTCACATACTCAGCTCTACTGCTCATCCCTCAAATATGTGTGTTCCTTACAAATGCAGCGCCATTTAAAAGGAAAATTACCAGGCTTTACAATGGTATAAGAATTTTTTGCCAAGAAGCATTGCCACGACAAAGAAACTATTACCAAACACAAATTGTCTTTCTTTTTGTGCTACGTTTAAGTTAGAAGTAAATTTTAAACATAAAAACAAATCTTCCCAATACCTTTTGTCAAATTTGAAGTGAGAATAGATACAAACACTGATAAATAAGCCATCATTTGATTTAAAATGTTTTTTTTATTTAATAGTTTCTTTAACATGTTGGTAGACATTTTGTATTAGCATCTATCAATAAATATTAAAGTCAAGTTTTTAAATATTAATGTTTTAACAACTTACTGATCTCCAGATATGATGGGGGCGGTGCTGAAGGCATACCCTCATGTCCTGGCACGGACTGATAGCCTGCATAGGTTGGTTGATGTCCAGAAGGAGAGTGTGGAGACTGAGGTGTGTTGACTGTGGTGTTTGTTACACCTACATAAGAAAATCACATAAATTTGACTGAAAAACAATTTGCAGGAATGCTAATTTGGTTGAGCACTTTAAAAGAGAAATAATAATTATTATTATTATTATTTCCTTGGACACACCAATATCAGTTTTAAGTAGGAATGTGCAAATATGGAAATTTCAGCCGATATCGATATCCAATTTTAGACAATAATATTTACCGATATTATACAAACACACTCTCTACTTCAGTTATTCCTGGCTGCACAGCACTATTATGATCAAAGAAATACCACTTGATCAACCATGTCACCTCCCAAAACAGAAACACAAAGCTAAAAAGTGGGAAAACAATATCAGACGTTAAAATTGGCCCATTTTTACTTATCGGACCGATACTGATATTCTAAAAAAATGACCAATATCGGCCAAAACAGACATATTGTGCATCTCTTGTTTTAAGTAAAACAAAAATAATCAGGATAAGTTGGACATTGTGGAAATTATAACATAATTCCTTCTTATTTGCTTCTGTGTAGAAACAAGCTGGCCCCGGCTGAAGTGCGGTCGATATTGTGTCTTACTTGTCTGCCTTTGGTTGTGTCTTTTTCTGCAGCACTTGTAGATCAAACAGTGAGGAGAGACACAGCAAACGATGAGGGTCACACCGAGCATTACAGGAATAACAACAGCACACGTGATTCCCACAATCAAACCAATGTCGAAAGGTCTTCAAAACAAGAGGGGGAGAAAAGAGAAAGCATTTCACGTGACGTCACGTGATGAATGAACAATCCAGTTCATACAATTAAATACGTTTAAACAACTTGTTAAGATAAATTGTTGTAAAACAGAGCCACACCTGTTTGATGGACACTGTCTTTGTGCTTCTTCAGTCAGTCTGAGGTTCTTGTTGCTGCAGCAGACTTTATAATTGCAATTTCCACAGCAGTACTTGCTACACTGCTGGTCATTATAAAATATACCATTTTGGCCCCAGTAGCCTGTGCAGATATCAGCTGTAAGACACAAAGACTGGTTAAAGATATGACACTGATTCACAGAGATGAGGGTAAAATGAAAGGAACATCTAAAAATATTGATGAACCAGAAGTCCTGTTGACGTATGAAAGAAACATAACTGTTCTTCTAGTTGTATGAAACCACACAACGCTCAGCACACAACCTGGGCACTCTTGACATCTCCAGGTTGGTTTCAGTTTGCAATAGCTGTCATGTGACTAAATTGTGTAAAACACCCGACTGTATGAAATCGTAAAATAGGAAGTTACACTCACCCCAAACTGCCTGGATCAGGAGCAAACAAAAAACACATAAAATGCTCGACCTAACCCTTGAAACCATGACTTCGATGAGCCAGTGTGCTACAGAAATGTGTTTGACACTACAGTGAATCAACTGTCTCAACCTGTATGTTTGTCCCACCCTCTAACAACTGACCCAACCACATTCCTAAACTACATAGGAAACATTTACCAAAACACAAGACTGCGAGCTGAACTTTTTTCTTTTCTCCTTTTCTTTATTAACCTTGATTCTAGCTTTGGGGTCTTCCCGTGTGAAGTTTGGTGGATTTCTTTCTGTTTCTGTCTCTTTCTCCAGGTATTCAATCCAAGTAAGCATGCTGCCTTCAGGCCCAGGCCTACCTTGAAAATGAGGCCTGTAAGCTCAATGGGATTTATACCGTTAAATAAAAGTGTATTGTTAAAAATAAAAAAGTAAACAAGTTTAAAAAAACACTTAGGAATCTGAAGTAAAACGCCCCAGACAAATTAGGCTAAAACAAACAGTCACAAACAGGTTTGGTCTGAACGGAGGCAAATGTAAAAGCAGAACACATGCTTGCTCAAATGTTAGTTTTCCTCTATATTTTCAAACACTTTTGTTGTTTTGAGCACAACTTTAAGCTAGATTTACTCAATTTTACCATTTATTCAGGTACTTACGTAAATAAGCCTTTTGATAAAGGAAATTTTATGATTGGTAAAAATGTCCCAATGCTTTAACAAAAAATCCTGACATCTAGTGTGACATGCACACTAAGAGATCAGTAATACAACTTTCATGGCTCATTGACAACATGAGTGGTTTAATTGTAGTAATTTTACATTGCTTGTTTATTTTTATCCAATACTGAAACTTTTGATAAATGAGAAACGTGAGAAATAAATTCAGTTCCTACAGAAACTTGAGCCACAATTTTTAAGTTCCAACTTTGCTGTTTTCTTTTTTTTTTATTCTAATGCGCAGCATGTGACTTCAGCATCTGACCCCACCCAGTTTTGCTCTGAACTAGTTTTCTTCTCCACCCAGTGTGTCTTTTTTTTTACACTAATCTTGTGAAAAAACTCAGTTAAATTTAGTCCACTCAGAGTTCTCTTTCTATTCCTCCGAAAAGGAAGTTATCACACTTTCAAACTGTGACTCAACAGATTCTGGGTCTCTGGTGTCTGTTACCACACATGCTTTTTTTTCCCTTCTTTTTCCACGACTGCCACCACAGTTCCTGTATTTCAGACTCCATGTCATCTTTTGCTCCATAAACAGCGACCACTGAACATACAGTACAAGTAAAGGGTTTCTTTAAATCGAGTTGAGCTTTGGGAAAAAATAAAACTTTGTTCAGCTAACAATTTGTTCAAGAAAACGCTCCTTAATGACAGTTCATTAAATTACCGTAGTGTATAATGTTCCATTTTGTCTCTTCCAAACCAATATAAAAAAATTAAGCCACAACTTTTTGAACGTTTAGGTGGTCTTTTTAATGTATTCACTGTTACTTTGTTGTTCACTTTAGCTCAGAGCTGCTGAGAATGTCCATATCCCAGTCCCATTCAACAACAAGAACGTAAAATTTACAAAAATAAAACAAAAACATGTACTTTATAAACTTCTGTTAAACCTGTTGACCCTATGATTTTCAGATCAGCAAATGAATTGTAGATGATGAAAAAAACAAACATCCTCACTCGTATTAAAAAAAAGACAAATGAACATCTTGATACAAATCAAAACTGACATTAGAAGGCTGCATGACCATTAAGGCTTGAGACAAAAAAAAGGTCAATGAGTAAATATTTTTAAAAAAAAGCAAAAACTGAGCTCAACAAAGAAACACAATCAATGTCTGATCACCTGAATCACAAGAAAAAGTCACTTTTAAAATCCAATTTCAGGGTTATTTTTTGTGAGCAAAGAAAAAAAAAACGGTGGCCTGTTAGTTAAAACATTTGTAAATAAATCACACAATTAAAACTGCTCTAACAGAGGGAACCACAAAACAGTCCTTTGGAAATAGTTTGAACACAAGCCCAGATAACAAAACTGACATGACCCAGCAGGAGTTTCAACATTTAGAAATAAGTAGAACAAAAATATTTTAAAGTGCTCAAAAATTAGAACCTTGCTTTGAAGGCACAAATTATTTTTTGCCATAAGCGTAACGCTTCTCCTTTTTGAGTTTGACAAAATGTTTGGTAGACTGATAAGGGAAGAAATCTTCCCAGGTAAAACTGTCGATGCATTTTGGATGATTTACGTGCGATGAGATCTGGAAAAATAAAACTACTTTGTTTTAAATGAACTATGTAGATGAGCACAAAACTAAATATTCTTTATGTGCAAAGATCTGCTGAGTTGACTTTGTCCCTTTTACTGGAGTTTTTAATATGAAACTGCTCATTCCCTCTGCTGATGTSAGCATCAGTCATGAATATTAGACTTGGTTTGTTCACAAAACAACAAGTACTGAAAATGTACTACAGGATACAGCACACACTTTACAACACTACAAAAAAAGAAATGTGCTTACAGGAAGAAATAAACGTTGAAAGCACTTTTGCAATAGAGCGGCAAATACTTATGAGATGACTGGCATGGATGTGAAAACATCTCTTAAGTTATGTCACCAAAWCAGAAAAATGAAAGGCAAACAGGAAGGTTTGAGGCATTTTCAGAAAAGTTCAAATATGCTTTAAAACACTAAAAACTTACAGTGGTTTCATGTTTCACTCGCCAAGTTGACAAAAACAAATAAAACAAAAAAGAAAAAAAATGGCAACAGACAATCTCACCACGTTTACCTATACAGCAAGAACATGCAACATAGAGCCAAAAGGTGTAAACGTTTCCACTAGAATGACTACGCAAGGGAGCTCCCAACAGASTGAATGAAGCAAGATGTGGAATTGCTCATCTGTAATAAAAGACATTTTTCCCAGCCCAGCTACGTTTTAAAACGTAGCGGCATGTTTGTGGTTGAAAATGTGGCACTGAGGTTTCTTATTGAATCTTGGGTGGAGCAACAAAATCCGGGTTGTATGCTGGCTGGGACAAGTAGTCCATCTGAGTGGGTGGAACATTTGGCTGAGGCTGAGGCTGAGGCTGGGTAGGTGGGTGCATAGGGTACGGTGGCTGTCCGGGTCCGTAAGCCGCCTGGCTGTAAGGCATTGGCTGGGGTGGGTAGGCAGGACCAGCTGGAAATGGAAAGAAAAGCATGAAAATTAAAAAGGAATGAAACTATTTTAACCACAACTGTTTTTTTAAAGGGATCCACGATTAGTTGTAACATTAAACTTTATTTGATAAACATATTTTAACTGTAAAATGAAGTCCGTAAAAATACTGTAGGCTGGTCAGTTTTGTAAATTTTTTAAAATATATTGTAACACGGACGGAGCCATTTTATTTACACACAAAGCATTCTTGAGTAAATGATGACGTGGATAGGTCCTCGGTGTGAGCGAGCTATATCCACCCTGAAGATTAATCTTGAACAATATCTGACGATAGTCTCTTTTAAATGAAACCAGAGAGCGTTGACAGAGAGGAGAAGGTAGAAATGACTCAGCCTGTAACAGAAAATATAGATGGAGGACAACAGAGCTGCTTCATGGAAGAAGAACCTCAGCTTAGCCTGTTAGCCTTTGCGCTAGCGCTATATTGCCTTATATGTATTAGCTCAGYGCTAGCACGACAAACAAGCTAAACTGAGGTCCTCCATCCATATTTTCGGTTGCAGCTGAGTCATTTTTGCGTTTCACTCTCTGTCATGTGGATGGAGGACCTCTGTGACAAGAGGAGAATGTGTAGCACTGAGCTAATTCATATATATATGGTGATAGCATCAGGGCCAAAGCTAACAGGCTAAGCTGAGGTTCTTCTTCCATGAAGCAGCTCTTTTGTCCTCCATCCATATTTTCAGTTCCAGGCTGAGTCATTTCTACCTTCTCCTCTCTGTCAGCGCTCTCTGGTTTCATTTAAAAGAGACAATCATCAGATATTGTCCAAGATTAACCTTCCGGGTGGATATAGCTCGCTAGCAGCCTCACACCGAGGACCTATCCACGTCATTATTTACTCAGAATGCTTTGTGTGTAAATAAAATGGCCCCGTCCGTGTTAAATATATATTTTGAAAAATTATAAAAAAGTAAACAGCCTACAGTATTTTTGACTGTATGTTTATTATATAAAGTTTAATGTTACAACTAATCGTGGTCCCTTTAACACACCGTAAACTTTTTTTTAAAACAAAATCTCTATATATTTTGGCAGTGGTAAATCCACTTCTGCTACTGCCATTTTGAAGCACCACGTAACACAATGCTGTATCGTGCCCTGCGACATTATAAAAAGCAATGGTGGCAAGACAACACAGTTTTTCCTGTGTCCCTGTGATGAAGATGTGACTTGCCCATAGTATACCCCATCTCTCTTACTGCAACTGCAGGAAACTGGCAGCAGCTGCCCACAACCCAGACAGGAAAGGTGGGTAAAAAAAGGTAAATAAATGTAGAAACAGGAACGAGACTGCGGTCCTGGAAACAAGATGTGATACTTTCTGGTACTCACTGGCTTCCTGATACGTTGGTGGTGGTCCCGGAGCAAATGGCTGTCCCTGGTAAGGTGCCGCTGGCGTGCCTTGAGTTCCATAGCCCGGCTGCACTGGTATAGGCTGATAAGGTGGATACTGAACCCCCTGGTAGGGCTGAGGAGGAGGACCAGACGCTGCAGTTGGCTGCCGGGGGTATTGCTGAGGATTGGTGGTAACCACTGTGGTGTGGGTGGTGGTTGTTACCACAGCTGTAAGCAAGCAAATTTAAGGGAAAAAATTTATATGTATAAACAGGAAATATATAGGAAAATATGGTTAACAACAGACAGACAAATTTACAACTGCCCCTACTCTATCCTACTCTGTATCTTAGACTCAAAGACTACAAGTTTTACTTTGTGATCAAACCAACGTGTTCCAAAATTTAACCTTGAGAAGTCACACATTTGTTCTAACTATACACCCCCACTTCTGCTTTTACCCAGCTGTTTAAAAACAAACATGACACCTGACAAAAAGCTGAGAAATCATATGATTTCAACGCTGATTTAAGTGTTACGTCAAATATGTGACCCATCACATCGAAATGAGGATTAAGTCCAAAAGTGGAATGTGGAGAAACAGGCAGATATAGGGTTTTGATTTAAATGAGTGCAAAAATTGCATTTTGTCAAAATATAATGAATTAATGCCTTATAAATATATCACTTGAATGAACTGTCTGAAATATAATCCTAAAAAAAATTTGAAGCATTATTTTAGCAGTAGCAACAGAAAACCTGTTTTTGAGGAAAAACGCCTTAAATTTTGAATTTTTCCCTGTGAGCTAGCAAAGTCTTTGTTTCTTTCCAACTGGGAAATCTTAACATACAAATAATATTTGAGGTTTACTCTTTATATTAACATCAAAAATTACTCAATAAATGTATGTAAAATTAGGATTCAGACTAAACAGTAATGTGTTATCGTAACCAACAAGACAAATGAAGTCATATCTCTGGATAAACTTATGATATCAGAATGATCCAGGTATCAAAATGTAGCTTTTAAAGCCAAGAATCTGAAAATGTACTTGGATCATTTTGAACAAACTTGACTTAATCCTCATTTTCATATGATGGGCTACATATTACTTCACTTAGACTTAAAAATGAACTGTTGTTCTTCAGCATTTTATTTGGCAAACATTGTGTTATTCTGATTATTATTTACCACAAAAAAGAGCYTTTTTTCAAAGTTAATTTTTTTGGTTACTTTTATGCATTCTTCTTATTTTACAATAGTTTCAATTTAATCCGTATTTGCCAAAACCGAGACACAGACTTGAGACTTTTCAAGGTCTCTAATATTTTACATGTCAAGTCAAACCGAGACGGGGCTGTTAAAAGAAGGACGAGCTGTGAAGAAAGAAAGAGGTGCGTAACACCACTGACTGCGTGTGTGTGTGTTTTAACAGAGTGGGAGTCGTCACAACCACTTCCTGTAAATGACGGAAAACATCCCTGAGGTTTTTTTTTCCCTGTGGTTGTCGTGGAAACAATGAATCACCCTCTGCACATTCCTGGATCTGATCCCGACAGACGGCAGTCTGAGCTGAAGAAGCCTCACTGAGTTTGAGTCTCTCCACCACAACTGTTTCATCATTTAACTCCATTTGGACAAAATGGCTAAAAAATAACTAGTTCCATCAATTGAAAGAATGTGGAATAAATAAGCTTGACTAAAAACAACAGTTTCCAGGGACTTTGCTCAAGCAGAAAATTTTTACTATTAAACTTTTACATAATCTTCCAATTTGCTTGTCTTTATTACCTTTCTTCTTTTTTATATTGCACATACTGTTAAAAAAAACTTACTGCCACAACCAAAACAGCAGACAAACCCAGCATATATTTACATATGTAAATATTTTACAAAGTGATCACTTACTGCACAATTAGGACAGAAAATCTGACATTTAAGAAAACAAAACAACTACTGTTTTGTAATAATGCTATTTGATGACACTTCAGTAGAAAAGACATACCTTGATACTTAAAAAAAATTCTTTATCAGAAACTACTGTATGTTTTCATCTTGAACAGCATGGAGAAATCTAATGAGTAATCAGTAATTTTAACATGTTTAAATTCACAGCTTGGAAAAAAGCAGCAGCAAAAACTAAGTGAGGGTATAATTCCTCCAGTTATACAACTACAGTGACATCAAACTTTGGCATAAACACCTAAACTATAATTATCTTTAATGACTAAATATGGTATCATCAGCCTACAGAATACAACCTTGTATATCACACTTCACACGTTACTTCTTCTCAAACATGAGCTCAGTTCGCTCTCGGGGTTTTAGTGTCTATGTAATTAGCCAGCCCAAACCCTGCAGTAATGAAAGTCATGTGGTGGGTGGGCCGACAGTCCAAAAACGAGTCCCCTGACGTTCCATTTCAAAACTATACAGAAAAACCCTCCAACACACAGGGAACCAAAAGTGTGAATTCTTCTGAATAAGACAAAAGACACAGAGTGTGACTGCCAGCTTTAAAGGCGCTTGAAAATGTGGTATTTACTGGTTGTGTACAGGAAATCTACACATGTGCAGCAACACTTTGCAACACACAATAAAGGAGTCAACAGACAGAATCAACTGAGTTGTAATTATCTTTTTGTTTTTGTTTTTTGGGGATCATTTTCCAGCCTGGTATCTAAATTAACTAATAAAAATATACAAGTTCTGTTTAATTCTTTTTACACCATAGCAAAATGTTCAATTGTTTAATTTAGGTCAAAAAATGTTTTTATTTTCAGTGTAGAATGATGTGAATAATTAAGGTTAATAAAAGTAATGGTGTCTTAATACCAATATTGGGCTCGCTGCTAGCCTCAAAAACTCATACATGTACTCATAAAAACCCTAACCTAGATACTTGGGGCCAATACCACTTTTATGCTTGGTGATGTCGTTTCCTTTTCAGCTTTGCAAGCAACTGAGTGCAAAAATAAAAGCTAAACTGTCTGTAGTTTGGAGATATTTTTAAGACAACAGAGTGTTTGCTGTGTTCTTCAGGTTCAGGTTACTTTGTGTTGTTAATAAAATAAAAGTCTTTATAAAGTTATTGCGTAACTACATGGTATCGGGACCCAGTAGTGGCAATGACCGAAAATTAAGTATTTTTACTTGGTCTGAAAAAAAAAAAACTGTATAAAAGATACCCTTAACTAAAAGGTTTAGTCTGAGCACACTTGGGTTTTGCTGAGAGTGAAGGTAAAATACAGCAAAGAAGAACACCACAAAGCAATTATCGCTGATGGCTCTGAATTTACAGAAACCATCGGTACATTTCCAATAGTCAGAGTTGTATTTCTGTTTTTAGCTGGCAATGTGACAAATGTAAAATCTAGAAAATATATTTATGTGGTGAATGATTCAACGCTTTCCTTTGTTTGACTTGTTTTAGGGGCAGCTTTCAAAAACCATTCTCAAAAAAGTGGTTTTAGTGCCTAAAGTGGAACACTACTTACGCTGTGGTTTACGGCACATCTTGTACAGGCAGCAGCATGGACAGACACAACAGCAGATGAAGATGAGGAGAGCGAYAATGGAGCCCACAATACCAACGATCATAGGCGCAGGACTTGATTCATAAACCCATCTTTCGTCACTGAAAAAAAAAAAAAATCTCTTTATCAGCTTAGAAGTTACACAGTTCAAGATGCTTTATAACTTGTGATGCTACACGAACTGTACTAATATGTTTTGCAACTACAACCACGGCAAGAATGCATGGTGCTTAATTAAAAGTAACAGAGGTTATGACATTTTTCCAGTATTGCAGTTTATTAAAGTTCCTCCTGAAGACAACAGTAAATTTATGCAATGTTAATTGGAAAATAACATAAATCAGATGGGTTGTGTAATGACTGAAAATAATCCCTTGGGTTCTTTGAGATGACGAGCTTCCTACAGCTAACAATAGCAACAGTGTGCAGAATGCATCTCTGTTCAGGTGACTGCCATGCATGTCCCTTCAACTTAAGATACAACAATTTATGTCGTAAGACTGGGTCATACTGTGGTGGAACTTTGTAACAAAATAACTTTATGTTAGCATTTATGCTGAGTTAGTCAGGAGTTTGTGATTTCTTTTGTTAAAATCTCAACTGTGCTTACTTGAGATAAACAGAAACTGCAAATAGAAACTGCAAAGAAAACCTTGTATGTCTACATGCCTCACTGTGTAAACTACATATTTTAATGTGAGATAAGATCCTTTGATGAGGTACACTTATTTCTTTTCACAGGCGCTTAATAACATGTACGTGTAGTGACAAAAAGAGTACTACCAGTCATCTTGAGCATCTTCTGTCAGCCGTCGACGAGGATCACTACAACAATCCCTATCGTTACAGGTTCCACAGCAAAAATTGAAGAAGCATGTCTTAGAAAAATGGTRCACGCCGTAAGAATCCCTGTAGGACTTACACTCATTACTCAGTGCTGTAACAGAAGAGAGAAAGAGAAATGTATCTTCAACACAAGACAAATTTGTAATAGTGGACCAACAATATAAGAAGGGCCACAAACATTTATCAACTTTTACCAAAAAAGCAGAGGTTTGAGTAGGGCTGGGTATCGATTCAAATTTCCCAAATCGATTCCATTCACAGGGGCCCGATTCGATTCGATTCACAACGATTCAGGACGATTCACGATTCAGTTTGATTGATTTATAAATTAGTTAAGGATATCACGCAGTAACACATTTACTTTGATATAGAAGACATTCTCAAAGGAACTAATTCTGCAAATAGTAGAAACTAATTCTAACTTGGTGCATTGGTAAAATTATAAACATAAAGGGCAAACTTGTAAACTGGAGTTTAATCTTGAAACAAAACTGTCTCAAGTTTCAAAGGGTTTAAACTAAAAATGAATTGCAAGAGAAAGTTTTTTAAGAAATTAATAATTTTCTTGATCACTAAGAAGTGATGGAATAAGGTTACAGGAGAAGAGGTGGGATAATTAAGTGTATACTTATGCCCACTCTTTTGAGCGTATGAAAATTGTATATTTGTAACGTTTTTGTTAGCTTCTGTTCAGTAAAACTTATTAAGAAGAAAGAAAGAAAAAAAGTACTTCAGCTAAAACATTCCACCACTGTGAATTACATTAAGATGTTTCTAAAATTTATAAATAACATTGGTAACAAAACTAAACGATTTTGTTAGACTGACATCTTTCAAACAAATATATACAGGAGAAGAGTTTCAGACCACCGGAATGAGCTGCTGTTTCCCACTACCGTGTCCGAGAGCAAAACTTTGCGAACAAAAGTTGTCCTGGTCTCTGCTATCTTTAAGGTCAGCTGAGAATCAGCTGTAARGTTAATGATTCCGTAGTTTCTTTTGTTTTGCCCCAGACAACTTGTTGTCGGGAGCTAACATTAGCACTGACTGTCAACTGGATGTAAACTATGGCAAGCCAGTAGTGACACACAAGGAAACGCGCAGCTTCACCACGCACAACACCCGTGGGGAAAAAAAAAAATCAATCTTGTGACTTATGAATCGATCTTCCCAAATTTGAACGAGAATCAATCCACATCGATTAAATTGATTTTTAACCCAGCCCTAGGTCATTCATAAAGCGCRACTAAACATATGAGGTGTTTTTGAAGAACATTGCTGTTTAGTCAGAGGAAATTGGACATTGTTCAGACAAGGAGTGGGCATTAGGGGTGGGAATGTTTTACTCTCTCACGATTTGATTTGACTCTGATTTTTGGGGCAACGATTCGATTCAAAATCGATTTTTCATTCAAAACTGATAATGTGAGCCCATTTGTCGTGTTCCCAAAGTGCAAAAAAGTCTTCATTTTGCAAACCTCGCTCATGTCAAACTCTGACTCATTCAGTAAAAAAACTAAATGAGCTCAAATCTTCAGATTTAATGAAGACAGGGCCAGTTGAATCTCTCTTTCCTCCAGTTTTGTAGTTTCCTCTTTGGTTTGGTGCTGTCAGCACATTCATATGTTCCAGAAGCAGCTGCGTGATGGCGTCACGACGTCCCACGTAGTTACAAAATGGAGGCTGACAGCCATCGGGTTTGCTTTATTCATTTTTATTTATTTATTTATTTATTAAAAAATCGATTTTGGGATATTTTAAATTGATTATGAATCTTTGTAAATGAAAATCACAATTCTAATGTAAAAGGATTTTTTGGTGCACCCCTAGTGGGCATATTTACTTACAATTCAATCCACYTTAACATTTTCCCTTCACACCTAAAGGCCCTGTCACACTATAACATTTTGGACAACTTATGTCATTATGAATAAAGTAAAATGTACTTTCCAAGCACAAAAAAAATCTGTAACAAATTAAGTGTTTACTTCGATTAGGATTAATGTTGCTTTATGTTTTGAATCTACAACATATTAGAACTCCCTTTTCACCTAAATTAATCTATTTTTTTCCTTTTGCTAAAATATTGTTTAGTGTTGCTTAAAGTTTAACAAACAAAAACACTTTATTTACACAATTATATATCAAAAATTTACATTTTGTGGCTCTTGAGTACTTTCAACTTCGCAATTTTGGCTCCTGTTAAAAAGTTTGGACACCGCCAGTTCATACAGATAAAGACAGATTTAATGTGAATGTTTATGCATGTGAAAAATGTATATTAAAGGAGGATGTCTATAGCTATCAGAAGTGGTAGGCAGCACTAATCTACAATGTTTTTCCACTAGCCCTAAATCACTAACTCAAATATTTAGGTCCCCTAATTCTAAAGCACTAACTCAAAWATTTAGGTCCCCTAATTCTAAAGCACTAACTCAAATATTTAGGTCCCCTAATTCTAAAGCACTAACGCACTGAAAGTTTTAGCAAAGGCTAATTCTAAAGCACTAAAATAACCCAGYCAACCCATGAACAGACAACATGACACATATTACCATGTTGCTCTCTTAAGATTTATCATTGACCTTCCACAGCTGTATTTGTGTTCATATATTGTCAATATATTGTCACCTGGTGGATAAAAGACACACATATGRACAAAATGTGACAGCTTTCACCGTCAGCTGTTAGCATTAAAGTTGATCGATAACATTTATAGACCTCAGTTAGCGCTTATAAATTTAGCATGTGCTAATCCACTAATAAATTTTAAAATTAGCAAAAGCCCTAAAGCACTAATCAGGAAATTAGTTCCCCTATTAGTGCTTTAGGGGAACTGTGCCCACCACTAGGCCACCATCAGAACTAAATTTCCTCGACTCTAATAGTTTGCCCAACTTCCTGTAACAGTTTTTTTTTAAGAGGAACTACAAATTATTTAGAGGAGAAGCGATTTTAAAATATTTATTTGGGGGTAGTAGATGCATTTGAACAATGGAGTTAAACCAGTTTATAAAACAATTCCGGTGTTTCAGAAACGTGGCAACAGGCGTCATTTAAAGTGTGCAATAAATAACCTTTTCTGGTTCAATCAGAATGCATTTTAAGTTTTAAAGAAACAATTTAGGTAACAAAAAATGTGAAGTTTCAGACAGAAAGGTTAAGTTATGTTACCGTATGTCGACTTTATTTTACGTCTTAGCTAAAATCAACCTTCAARCCGTAAAAACACCGACTATGCATTTTCTTCTAGTCCTAGTTATATAATAATAACATATAATACAATAAAATACTCTTCAGTAACATGATTTCTACCCAACGAAGCTCTCGGACGGTACCGAGCTCGAGGAGTCTCGTGTTGGACCTGTTTGAAAGCTAACCTTCGGAGATAACCCACAGATAAGCGAGTGAAGACACAGACAGATAATAAAAGGCACACTTACCAAGTACACAAGTGGACAGACTTGAACCGAGTAATAATACAGCTACAGCAGGAAGTCCGACCGCCATGGCGTACGAAGAAACGAAAGTGCCAGACAGCAGCAGCAGGGTCTGTGAATGCTGTGGACTGACAGACAGATCTGATTAGCTCCGCCCACTTCTCTTGTTTACTTAAGGTGGTTCCAAATATCCTGTCTCCAGCCAAGTGCGTCTTTTTATAAACAGTGATCTTATTCCATATCATACAGTCACACACTTAGTGCATACAATGTATATGTTCCAAATATTTAAATACAAAAAAAAA